ATGTATGGATGTGAAAGCTGGACAGTAAAGAAAACTGACAGGAAAAAAATGATTCATTTGAAGAATGGTGCTGGAAGATTGCTTTGCAGATACCTTGGACTGCCAGAAAGAGAAGCAAGTGTCTCCAAGAGCAAATCAAGCCTGAACTCAAGGCAAAAATGATGAAACGGAGGCTGTCCTTCTTTGGGCACATAGTAATGAGAAGGAGGATTCTTTAGAAAAGACAATAATGCTGGGAAAAGTTGAAGGCAGCAGGAAAAGACGAAGACCAAATATGAGATGAACTGACTCCCTAAATGAAAAGCCACAGGTTTGAGTTTACCAAAGCTGAGCAGGGCTGTTGAGAACAGGACATTTTGGACGTAACTCATTTATCAGGTTGCCGTAAGTCTGAAGCAACTTGAGAGCATATACCAACAACAACAAATCTCCATTTGGGCTGGCTGTTCTTTGGCATCCACAATTGCAGGATTAGAGCCATTCCAGATCGGGGAGCAAAAATATCCAGATAAACAGATGACAATAGGAACTAGATCATATCTGTTCTGTCCAGCACATGTCATGATAATTGGGGAGGAAACAATGGATACGAAAAAGCAAAGGAAGAAGCAAACTAATAAACTAAATAACTAGCAATTTGGTGTCATCTCATGACATCCAAAAGTGACTGCCCAAGACATATGCCTCATGCTGTCTTATAATAACACTCAGCTTTGATACTTTGGGCATTACTGGGTTACTTTTAGCTTTCTACAAAAGCTGAAAGAGAATTCTCTTAGGACTGACCTGCTCATTTTTGCTGCAATTGGGCCTAAAGGGAAACACAGTTTGGATATGCTGATTTTGTTTTGTTTTGCTTGAAAAAGAAACACACTTTGTATACAAAATGCTTAGAATGCAGTTGGTGTAGGAGTTACACAAAAGAGAGGTCAGCAAGACAGCTTCAGAGTGACACCCTTGAGGACTCCACAGCTATATTAGTTGGAATTTAATTAAGGAACATTTCCTGAAACTTAGTCTGACACTTTCACCAATTCTCCATGGTCTTTCAGCATTTGAAGTGCGATTCTCTGTGTTGTCCTTCCGAATGTTCTGAAATGTCCTTGTAATTTAAACTGTGATTTTTCTCCTTAGGGACAAACTTGAACTCATATTTCTGGAGTAAAAGAACAAGGCAGTATGTATATTCTGTTCCCGTTCTGCAGCATTCACACACGGGAGATTGGAAATGCAATGCTGGAATGATGGAGAGAGTAATTCTGAATTCCTCTTGCTGTGCTTCTCTTACAGCTGTGAAATTCTGAATCTGAATAAGGCATGTTAATAGGCAAAAACAAAACGTCTGCCCTAAAAATGTTTAAATTCACCATGGGCTAAACCCAATCGATTCTTCCAACTGGAGCACTGCCATTGAATCACTGGAACATACGAATGTCGACGTAACAAGTCCCACTCAGTTAATGAGCCTGTGATAATCAGGACTTATACTAGTTCCTTGTAGTTTTGGAAGATAAGACAATGTTAGTGAAGGCTGACAATATTTTTAGGAAAGAGGATAAGTTTCATAGTGCAGTGGTTAAACTGCAGTACTGCAGCCAAAACTTTGCTCACGACCCAGGTTCTGTCCCACATAGCTGGCTGGAGGTTGCCTCAGCTTTCCATCCTTCCAAAGTCAGTAAACTGACTACCCAGCTCAAGAGAAGGAGGGGGGAATGTGTAGCCTGCATAGTTACATTGTAAACTGCCCAGAAATATATTTAAGCACCATAGGCTATAAGGCGGTATAGAAGCTTTGCTTTTCCCCAAAGGCTAGGCAGTTTTGGCAACCCATGGCAGCAATAGATTAGCTGAAAATGATTTATTTTTTTCTTTGAATCATATAGAAAAAGGAGAGAATAGAAAAACAAGGTAACCTTCCCAACTAATGAAAAGTTCCTGTACATTAACCACTGAATACACCATTCATTTACTTTTTAAAGAGTATCTTATCATCTTATTGCAAGGCTCCAGGAGGAATTTAAAACAGATGAAAATGATTAAAAGCAGCTTTGTAATATGTTAAAAACATAGATGTAAGCATATGTCCTTCAGCTAGCTACAAGAGTACACTGGGGAAATATGAGGGTTGAAAATGCAACAAGGAGTCTTGTGTCACTTTAAAGATGAATCTGTTTTAGCAGGCATAAGCTTTCATGGACTGCAGCCCCCTTTTTTATACCTCTAGCCTCTATGTACCAGAAGAGGTGGACTACTGACCACAAAAGCTTATTTGAAACAAAACCTTTTGCCTTTAGTGTACCTCAAGATATCTTCATGTTTTTTGTTGCAGCAGAATAATATGGCTACGTCCCCCTAGAAATTTCTACAATAATGCTTGGAAATAATGATAAATATTCAAGTACCATGTTGAGCATTGAACAAACATCTCCTTCTCACCACTTGCATTTACAGCAGTGGTTCTCAACCTTGGACGACCCAGGTGTTCTTGGACTGCAATTCTCAGAAACCTTCACCACTATCTTTGCTGGCTGGGGTTTCTGGGAGTTGAAGTCCAAGAAAATCTGAGTTGGGAACCTCTGATGTATACTGCAAAATTAACCTCTGAGTACTTTCAAAACAAACAATCATATGTTTTTGGAAAAAATGAAAAAAGTGAAATAAAGTGACTAATTCCAGTTTTTAACTAGAAAGAATGATAGAATGTTTTTGACCTGATAGATCTTAATGTAACCAATTAAATACTACCTAAACCTCACAGCCCAAAGGTCTTGTACAGTATATGTAAAACCCATATACTATAGGGAGAGCTTGAAAAAGTGATTTCTCCAAGTTCTTGTTCAGTCACAGGTCTGTTCTTCCCAGACCTCATATATCTTGCTAACTTTTAAGAATTTTTTTAAAAATACTTGCTGAAGTTGTATTTAAGACATGTATATTCATACATAATTTCTCCTACAATATTATTACATATCTTTAAAGCTGAGAATTACATTACAAAACACAGAAAACATGTGTAATCATGATTATTGAGATACAATATGTGTATTGGTCTGAGAAGCGAGAATTGTGTGAAACATAAAGCCTGAACAAAGTTACCCAATACCCTTGCCTATAATGGCAAGGTGTTTGGGTTCCCCCCCCCCCATAGCACTCATGACTGTGCCTCACCCTCCTCCAAGAGTTGGTGGTTTTGTTTTGTTTTGTTTTTTAAATTGCAGAGAAGTTTAGAAAATAATTCTGCAACTCAGTAACGAGTTTGTTGACAAGGACCTAAAGCAAAACACTGGGCACAGGCATATATTTCATAAACATTATTCTTCCTCATCTGTACTGTCTATAGAAATAAACTTAATAGAAAAATTAATGCTCCAATTCTACTAGCAGAGTGCAAAGTCTGAGGTTGGGGTTTAATGTACCTGTTTGCCATTGTTAGAACGGATGGTATTTTATATGTATTTCATTAGTTTTTCAAGGTGAATTTTGTCTTCTTTCAAAACATTCAACAACAATAGCTTTATTTTGGAAGACGCATGAGTTCATTCCAGCCAAAGAGATAACTGAATGTAATTTGCTTTGTCTACTGATATAATGTAGCTTTCCTGCTGTGCATGTTGTCAGTCTGAGATTTATTATTTATTGCCTATAGATTTCATGTGCATATATGTCAACCAATCAAATAAATAACCCTCCATTCCTGTATGCTAACACTTCCTCCACCCAATCTACCAAGTAAATCTGACAGTTTTGAAACATGTGTTGCTTGGCAAGTTGAAAAACCAATTCCTAGAAAATTCAAACTTAATGGACCATCATGTTAAGCCTCTTTATTGAAATGAAAGTGCAAATGGGAAGTGAACCAACACAACCATCTCCACCCACCATTCCTCCAAAATACAGAAGATGGACAGATTTGCTGGAGATGTAGTCATCACTTGGAGGCAGGATATGGCCTATATCTGCATTGAGGATATAAGTGCTGGGTAGGTGGGAATGAGAAAAAATGTACACGGATGGCAATTTTCTATTAATATATTCAATAGAAGGATGGCAATATTATTAATGGAAGGGCATATGAATGTTTCAGTTGTGTGAAATATCAAGCATCTGCTTCTCTTTTTCCCCAGTAAATGTGCTATAAATGAATATAAGGTACCCAACGTGGGGTAGTGGATACAGTAACAGAGTAGAACTCAGACCTGAGTTTGAATCTCTGCTCAGCCATGGCAACTCATGGTCAACAGAAAGGTTATGGAACCGGTAAAACTATTCCCTTAAATATCTCACTTATTTTGAAGACCTCATTAGGGACACCAACATAATATAACATAAAAATGAATATATTTGGGGAAAGAGTTCACACAAACTTGCTTTAGACAATGGGGAGAAATACATACAAAATAAATGTGCATTTCTGTGTGGGAAGTGGAGGAGAAATCTTAATCCAGTGTGGAGCTTGGAAAGGATACAAAGGTTTGTTAGATTATAAGAAATACTGCATGAATGAAATGGATAAATGTTCACATCCCTACCTGATTCCTTCCCTCTCTTTGTGTTGGGAAAATGCTTGGATGGTGTGTAGGGCAGAAGATGTTGCATAAAATAAGAGACACCCAAAAAGTCTTGGATGTATTTTTGTCCATGTGCCTGTCGTGAACTGCAAGGGTTTGATCTCTACCATATTGAACAATTTTCCAGCTACTCAGGGAGGTCGAACCACTTAAGAACTTGAGCATGACAATAAAATCTGCCATTAGATGCTAGCATGTGACCCAAAACAAGGTATGTATGTCAGAGAGCAAAGTACAATACAGCATCCAGAAGAAAGGTAATGTAGGTTAGTATCTTACCACCTGCTACTTGCAAAAGGCAAACACTTGGTTAATGCATTTAGGCTTGGACACAAATCCTTTAGAAGCTTAAGTATTAGGCTTTTTATATGTTAACAGAAGCTGACAAGTACAAACTATACTTAAAATATATGTGTTCAGCTTTCTAAATACCTGGTGAATGGAGTTTGTTAGCTGATACAACCAGTCTCTTAGGGGAGGAAACGGGGGTTCTGTTCACCTCTTGATCCTTCTGTACTTCTTTCTTTGTGCCTGTGAAAAAGGGGAAACAGCAAAGACAGTCGGTATTTATTTGCATTTGTGGATTTTATTACTTTGAACACACTGGATCTTGTCTGATTTCTGAAGCAAAGCAAGTTTGGGCCTGATTAATATTTAGATGGATGGCTACCAAAGAATCTCTTAGTAGGTCTTGGAAAGAATCCTGCCTGACACCTAGGATAGATGCTGCCAAAGTTGACAATACTGGGATAGACTAATGGCTCAGCAGAAGGTGGCTTCTTATGTTCCTATGAAATATGATTATATGAAGGACCCTCATTCTTCTGCATGTCCTGAATCATGTTAACACCTTCTCTATGCCATGCAAGTGTTCAGCAAACATATGGAAGATTAGATCAAATGCACCTGCTAGCCTTGTCTGCATATGTTCAGCTAAAGGAGAACAGTATGTAATCTGTACCCATCTCAAGGACCATGTCTTCCTTTATGAGCTTTCTCAATGGCAGACTTGGCCATCATTTTATGGTAAGAATAACTGATGCTCAAATAATGCACTTTTGCTTTCCTCTTGCACTCATACTAAGATGCCTTTTGGAGATATGACAATAGATCCAGATGCCTTTTGGAGATATGATGATAGATCCATTATATTATATACTTCAGAGTGAACGTCAAACTTGGAAAGAAGTAACTGTCACAATAGGTTATCAACTCAGTGTCTTTGTGTAACATATGTAGCTTCTATGGTTCCATATAACCATAACAATATTAACATCTGCAGTTCTACTGCTTTGTGCTTCCAGTATTAGGAAGAAAACAAACTGTTGGATATCCTTGCAACTTGGAAACCTTTATTGAAGCTGCTGGCTTCTCCAACTGGTCATAATGTCTGGAAAAGTGGTAAAAAATAACTAATATGACATCCAATACATGCACCTGCTACATGAAGCTCATATACAATTCATTTCTGCTTCTGTAGTTGCACTAGTGTATAAATAGGCTGGAAACCTAATCCAGCCTTCTCCAGTTTTGTGTCTTCTGTATGTTTTGGACCCACTGGATATGCTGGCTGATGGGAGGTGCAAGCACAAGCAAAGATATCAGGAGGGTAGTAGGTCGAGGATGTTGACAGAACTAAACTTTTATCTGTAAACAAATATTAACATGCCATTTTAAATATTGTTATTATTACTGTTTATTATTAATATTAACAATTACTCATATTGTGACCACAGTGCTAGTGGCAGAACAGTTTGATCTCCCAGGATGCTTCATCATCAACTTCAAGCAGTTACTATGGAACAAAAGCAGTTCATATGAAAACTGGGGAGTGAAACAGTTGAATTTTCATACATTTGCAAAGTCAGGTATATTATAAAAGGCTTGCACAGGGATAAGGGCTTCTTAACACACTATGACTAAAATGCAGTAGTAGAATTTATGTGGTGCAGGCTGACAACATTATCTGTTGTGGATATTTCTAAGAAATTGAAAATGTTCAACACACACCCTTGAAGGTCTTGAGGCTCCCTTAAAATTCCTTTCATTCCGGGGAAGCTATTTGGACTGGGGGCAGTGGCTTTAATTACCAACAATCACTGCCGCCAGGGTGACTTTACTGCCAGCAGTAATTACCTGTAATTAAAGGCTTCCTCCTCCTTCTCATAGCCCCCAATGACTTCCAAATGATGAAAATGATTCAGTGTGGGAGCCCTGAGACCTTTATGGCAGAAACACAAAATACTTTTTTCCTGAAAAATCACCATTGCTGATGACATTGGCAGTCTTACACTGGATAACTTAATTAACAGGGTTTCAGCCTATATGTATTAACAAGCTGCTCAGTGCTCACCACAATGGAGAAACAACAGAGACCTGTTTGAAATAGTTCCATTATTTTATAATGGCTGAAATTCTAGTAGTAAACCACAGCTAGAGTAGGTCCATTGAATCAATGGAACTTACAGAGGAGCTGACTGACCAAACCCCCAATGATTCAATGGACTTATTCTACCTGTAACTTACTACTGGATTTCAAACAATATGAGGTATCTTCAGAGTACACAAAGGGTCAGAATCACAAAGCTTCGCTTCATGCATCTGAAGACATGGACTGTGTGTCCACTGGACGTTTGTCCTCTGATAAATCTGTTAAAGTGAGTTTGGAAATATTCCTTTTTTTGAACACCCAACTTTTATACCACTAAACATACTAATGCCCTAACCCAGTGGTCCCCAATCTTGGGCCTCCAGATGTTCTTGGACTTCAACTTCCAGAAATCCTAGCCAGCAGAAGTGGTGGTGAAAGCTTCTGGGAGTTGTAGTCCAGGAACATCTGGAGGACCAAGGTTGGGGACCTCTGCCCCAACCTATATCAATTTAATATACACCGTGATATTACCCAAAGAATGTCACAGGTATTTTGTGCTTTTCTCTATTTTTATGGAGGGGGGGGGAGTTCTGTATTTAGAGGTCGCTAAAAATCACAGCTTTAAACTGTAGTTTAGTTTTTTATTTTATTTAGCCAGGTTAATACTTTTGCCTTTTCAAAGGCTCCTCAACTTTAATACCTAAACAGTGGGTGTGTACAGTTGGGAACAGTTATAGAATTATGTTGAGAACAGTCATACTTATAGAATTAACAACAGCTTCAAAACTGAATGTAGGCCAGAAGTCCTCTTTAAGTGAAAATGTCCAAAGTAGAGCCAATACATGTGTGGATACTGTAGATGAGGGTTGCATATGCGCCCTGGTCTCTCTCCTACATGGGCCTCATTTGATATAAGTTTAGAATGTTACCAACCTCCAAAACACTTTTCAAAAATCTTAACATTCAATTAATGTAATTTTCAAGCTAAATACAACCAGGCGTGGGGGAATGGTTAAGTATCCCAGAGGGGAAAAGGCAGACATTTTTAGGCTTTTTAACTTTTTTTTTGTCTTTTTCTTTCTCTACCTGAGTAATCAAGAGTAGTCATACCCTTTATGAATAATGAGCCACCACTTCAGACACATCGGAGGCAAAATGAGAAAAACAAAACATATGAAAAGTCCCGTGGGGAAAGAATACATCCAGCCATCATCACTAGGGAATTACTCTGCATCCTGTGATGCACAAGATATAAAGGACATGAATAAGCAAACAAATATGGACCAAAGACTGTGTTTGCTAGCTTGGAAAGTTGTGTTTTTTTGTTCCTTTCTATTCTCTGACTTCTGTGACTTTTTTGAGGGGGGGCAGCTAATTATTTCTGTCCTACCAAAGTGACTTATTTGTACTCAAACTTTAAAATGTCTATTTTTTTAAAAAATGTCTTTCTATGTGAGAGTCAAACTTTTGATCATGTTGGCCAATCACCCCAATGCAATCGGCCTCTTTTCTTTGTTCATATTTTAAAAAGTAACCACAGAGCCCTGATCTAGTTCAGGACTACTATGTGTCTGTGTGTATGTATATCTGAGGGGGAGGATGCTTAACAAACTTTCCCACCACCATTTTCTCACTGGAAATCCTCCCCAAAGCCCCTATTTTCCCCAGTTTAACCCTCATACATACAGGTGTAAGAAGAAATGTCTGCCTGTCCCTTTCCCAACCATTCTTCTCCATTAACACAGACACCCCAAACCTCTCCTCCCTATGGAGCTAGGATGGAAGTAGTGCCATTAGGATACTCTTTTTTTGCCCCGTCCAATGTAAAGCGTTAGGACAATACAGGACCCTGTATTATTCCCCACTCCCCAAGTTATTATGCCAAGAAACAGCCACGTGCTCTGGTTATCATATGGTCCTATTAAGACATAGGGGAGGCACTGCATTTCCAGTGAGGTCAGGAAATGCGAGATATGTACATGTAACTTTAACTCTAAACCCATTTTGGGATGATGTGCCCTGCATCATGGTTCAAAAGTACCTCATCGCTCAGTTACTTTCCCTGAATGTTAAGCGATCTGCTCTATTTCGCAGCTATATAAAACTACTAGAGTGAGGTCATCTGAATATTGTGAGAGAACTGAAGGTCACATTTGGTTTACATTAGGACTCCTCCATCAGTATCAGTATCCACGGATTCACTTATCCACTGCCTGAAAACAATAAATAACACACACACATTTATATGTAGATATGGGGATGAACCTCATTTCAGAGGTCATGACAGTTTGTACGCATAGCACCACAGGTGTTGCACATTCCCTTCTTCCACCTCCCCGGCCAGTGACCCATTCACCAGTCAGAGCACTCTGTTCTCCTCCTGCACTTTGGCTATTCTACAAGTTCTTGGTGTGAGCACGAGGTTGTCGGTCCTGCCTCCTCGTATGAGTGGGCAATCAGCCAAGGGAAGCTCATGCTTCTACTGGAGTCTAGCTACCAAAGAGGAGGAGGAGAGGAGCATGTGCCGGCTGGTGAGTGGGAGATCTACCTGGGGGGGGGAGGAGAAAGGATGCCATGTGTACAAACAGGTGCCATGCATATGAATCAGCATAGACCTCTGAACCGAGATTCATGCCCATCTCTATTTATATGTATTTCCATGGCATATTTACCAGAACTGGCCATTAGAGAGAGGCAGAGACCATGCTATTTCTACAGTTTTTCAACATGGTGGGGGAGATGCCACAGTCCTATTTGCCTCCTTTTTATTACATTCTGCTAAAGGTATGTAAATACTAAATCAGTACCTGGGTTGGCCTGTGTGTTCACAGTGCAAAGCTCAATTCAGAGAAGAGGTATTTTAGAGAAATGTTTTTTTTACCCAAGGGTATGCTGTTTATCTTCAGCAAAATTGTTCTCCTCTTAAACTGGGGTGGCACTGGGGGTGGAGAACTTCAGGGACTCTCCATGGTGCCGTCATTTGGTTACTGACCAGTTTTTGCACGCACAACCTTCCTAAAGATTTAAATGTCTCTCCCAAAGCCTAGTCACTGGCAGAGAACACTTTAACCTAAAGGATGCTAGTATTTCTGGTGCCATTCTTTTGCTTTTGATCCCGAACACCACTGCAGTGTGTCCTTCCCTACTTCTCTGAAACGGA